TTTTTTTTCTGTACCTGGGGACAGGGTCTTGTTTAAAAAACCAATGTAAATAATAAGTCATGTTTCAAATTGAACCGTGCAAGTTTCACAGAGGGGAATTTAGATTTAGGCTGTATTTATTACATGACGATTCCATTACTATGGATTATAAAACAGCAAATGCATTATGGTTCACTGAGTCAGTGAAAATCACGTAGTTGTTAATGATTTGGAAACCGGCTTGTGAAGCACGACTTGGCAGAGCTATCCGTGGTTAAGTGTGTCGGTAGGAGAGTTAAGGACCTCAGAGCTCAAATCCAAGTCTGACTGTTTTTGTGGTGTGTGGCCTTGGACTTGACTTTGCTGGGATGCAATTTCCCCTTATGTGTAATTGGGTAATGAAATGTAGTCACCAGGCAGTGGTGGAGAGATGTAAGCACCCTGACAGGGAGGTGCAAGCTTCTCCTGTTTATTTCAGGCAATGCCCACGCTCAGTCTTATTCACCAGGTACCTAACAGAATCCCCAGAGAAGTCACTTCAGAATTCTTCCTGCCCTGATGGGCACATGTATTTCACGCAGACAGTGTGGTCGAGAATGGCCCCACCAAGTATAAAATCTTCAGCCCAGACAAGGAGGCCACATGCCACTTTCCAGACTGCACTTCCAGGACCCAGGTTCGAGCCAGGAGGAAAGCACTGGCACTGGCTCTGTGGGATGTTCATGCTTGGCTGGTCGGGTCACACACTGTTGCCCATGTTTTAATATTCCCCTCAAGTCTCCTGTCTTAGTTTTACTTTGTTCCTCGCCATCCTTGCCCCAATCCAGAAGGGTTTATGATTTCTCTTCCCTGAGATGGATGCTGGCCGCTGATTTCTCTCCCTCATAGGTACAATGCAATGGACCGCGAAGAGCAGCGAGTTTCTCTGCTGGCTCTACTGCGTTCCTGCTGGGTGACGGGCTGCATCACCCTCTCTGATTCTGTTTCCTTGGTTACCAAAGACAGAGCAAGCGCCCTGAAGCCTCCTGGCCTAGCCTCACGTCGTCGCTGTCTGGGTTAAACAAAATGACGTCCAGTGTGGGAGAGCACTGTCCATGGGCAACCGCCCACGGGGAGGGTGCTTGCTGGATAGCTGTCCCGGCATTTCTCAGTGTGTGAGCATCTGGTGTGCGGTGCACTCTGCTCCCAGCTCCCCAAATCTCAGAGATGCTGAGGACGCCGGCCAGATGGCCGACTTGCCAGCTGTGTCTTGTTTCGCATTGTAAATATTACATGCCCCAAATGAGAGCTTTGCTTATAACATGCACTTCTTTGTCTTTTATCTCTTGCAGCTTGAGAATTACATTGTGGAAAATATGAAGTCGGAGATGGCTCAGCTACAGCAGAATGCTGTTCAGAACCACACGGCCACCATGCTTGAGATCGGGACCAGTCTCCTGTCTCAAACCGCAGAGCAGACCCGAAAGCTGACGGATGTTGAGACCCAGGTATGGCCCCGGGGCCACGTGACAAACTCTTAACCAGGAGGTTTGGTTTGGTGGTGGCGGTGTTTGTCTTTAGCTTATTCCATAAACGCAGAGCACATTTCAGTACTGCCACTGGGGATGCGCACCATTTTTGTTTATTGTTGTTAACAACAGTGATTGACTGACATGCTGTAGATGTTTCTTTGGATTTGAAGAGGGTTGGTACGCTGGTGTAATGTTCAGCTTTGTTTGTGTTTGCAAAAACTGCATAGCCAAAGGGCCCAATCAACATTTAAGCTGAAATAAACACCACAGCTACCAACTGCAACAGGATGGTGTGCGTCAAACAAAATAATCATTTGGATCCAATTGGAGTCTTGGGTGCATATTGGTGTCCTGTCTTGCTTGTCTCTGGTATTGGCCCCATTATAATGGCACCTTGTAGAAGTCTTATGTATTTAGTGGACAAGAGGCAAAATCCCAGGGAAACTTATGAGAAAGTGCACAATTTTGTATGTAGCATGATTCTATACTGAAAGGTAGATTTCAATACTTTAACATGGCTATGTATATGTGCATGTAGATCCACACCCGTAAACATACATCCCAAAGCCCACTGCTATCAAGTCAATTCCAGAACTGCTTCTGAGGGTTTAAAAAAATGTAAATCGTTACCGAAGCAGACAGCCTCATATATCTCCTTAGGGGGAACTGGTGGGTTAGAACCACTGACCTTGTAGATAAGCAGCCCAAGCTTTAAAACATTACGTTGTGAAAGCCTCACTCTTACTGTCTCATTTTGCCCCTCTATCTTTTCTTCTTTTTTAAAAAATAATTTTATTAGGGGCCAATACAACTGTTATCACAATCCATACACACATCAATTGTGTAAACCACATTTGTACATTCATTGCCCTCATCACTCTATCTTTTACCATATAAGTTCATGAAATTATGGTGGCAGAATGGGTTACACGTTGGGCTGCTCTTCACAAGGGAAGTAGTTCAAAGTAGTTCAGCTGCTCCTCAGGAGAAAGATGAAGCTTTCTGCATGTGTCAAGAATGAGTCTCAGAAACCCATGGAGGGCAATTCTACTCAATCCTACAGGGTCACCGTGAGCAGTCACATCAGGATCGACTAGTGGGAATAAGTTGAGTTTATGTATGTATCCATGCACAGAGGTGGATATGCATGCGTTATGCATGTATATTCAGAGATATGAATGTATGTATAAATACACTAAAACATGGAAACAGACACAAACACACAGACATGTACACACACACACACACACAGTGATCACTGTTTTTGTTGTTAGGGGCCATCAAATTGGTTCCAACTCCTAGCACTCCTATGTTCAGAAAAACAAAACAGTTCCTGGTCCTGCACCATCCTCCTCATCGGTGCTGTGCTGGAGCCCATTGCTGCAGCCACTGTGTCAATCCATCTCACCGAAGGGCTTCCTGGTTTAACTGACCCTCTGCTTTATCAAACACGATGTCCTTCTTCAGGGACAAGTCCCTCCTGATAACATGGACAAGTCCATGAATTGATGTTTCACAATCCTGCTTCTAAGGAACATCCTGGCCGTACATCTTCCAGGACATTTGTTTATTCTTATGGCAGTCCCTGGCAATTCCACTCTTCTTCGACAACACCATAATTCAAGCACATCAATTCTTGCTCAGTTTTACTTACTCACTATCCAGTTTGGGCTTACAAAAGGGGCAATGAAAAATACCATGGCTTGGGCCAGATACACTTTTTAGTCTTCAAAATGACATCTTTGTTTAAATAAGTCTTTTACTTATTTTACTGCAGATTTGTGCAATGTAATATATTGCTCACTTTCTTTACTGTAGCTTCCATGGATATTGATTATGTACCTAAGTAAAACAAAATCCTTGACCCTTTCAATATAATTGTCAGATATGACTCATTGTCTAGCTTTGAGAATTATTGGGGGTTTTTTCTTTACACACACACACACACACACAAACACACACACACAGCACTGGTAAGCCAGTGGTATAATTCTTGTCTTCCATGCAGAGATTGGAATTCAATTTCCAGCCAATATGCTTCGGGCATGGTCATCACTGGGCTCTCAGTGAGGCTGTCCGTGTATTGCTAAGATGCTAATCAGACTTCAAAGGGAGCTTCCTGAGTAGATAGACTGGGAAGAAAGGCATGGAAATCTAATTCTGAAAATTAGCCTTTGAAAATGCAATGGTTCATATATAATTTCAGATAACTGGAAGATGAATTTTAACCAGTACAATTGTTATTCCAATGACCTTCGGAATCCCAGAAATAAGTATATTAGATTTCTAAGGCAAAAGATAATTCTATAAATTAAAAAATAAATGAAAACACTACTTAGATTTTATCTATTAATGGCATCGTAGATGATAGGTTGACATTTAAAGAGATGTGGCACTGATAATTTAAATCGTTATAGCACAGGTTATGTTAGACAACCTACTTTTATAAGTATAATTGAATTTTATCACAACTCTCTGTAATAGATGTGCTCAGAAATTGGAGTGGCTTCTTTCACATTGATACAGCCAATGAGTAGCTATTCAAACGGAAGCCCCCTCACTTCTTTTTATTGCCCCTCCTATTAATAATAATAGTACTTAACTAATTGACTAAGAATGTACTATGATTGCATTGAAATAATAAATTATAAAGCATATAATGTTCTGTAATGGGAAGGAGGAGAACTTTATACTGGAACGTAAAAAAAACCAAGTTTTTGTTGAATAAGTTGCCAAGGTGCTAAGCAAACTTGATATGTGCAGTGACTGTGAAATTATATGAGTGTATTTTCCTTTGACTCGAAGAAAATTTTTGCCTTCTCTTTCATAACATTTTTCCGTATTCAAAGCTAAAGATCACAATTTGTAGAGATATACAATGTGTATTAAGCTTCTTTGCTGCACCTTTGCGATTCACATGTGTTCTCTAATAATACGTTTATAATAGATAAGGTAGGGTTTTTTCCCCCATTCTGCCCCCACCAAACATCTGATTGGTGATTTTTCCCTCTCTTCTCTACTAGGAATTAAAAAATAAAATAAAATAATATAAAACTCACTGGCATAGAGTCCATTTAGATTCATTGCAAGCTAACTGGACAGGGTAGAATTTCCCCCATGGGTGTCCAAGACTGTAACTCTTTACAAGAGTAGAAAGCGTCTTCTTTCTCCCTTCCTAGGAGTGGCAGGTGTGAAAAAAATAACTTATTGTTGGCAAGCGTTTCCCCATTATTTTAACAAGTAGTTAAAACACATGCTGTGTGACGTTGTCAGAGGTAACAGCTGATTTTGCATCTATCAGGTGAAAAGATCTATTTTTTAAAGAAAATTATAACAGAAAAAAATGTAGAAGAATTGTTTTACAGAGCAGCTAAGACTGAATAAGGAGCCCCGGTGGTATTTTAGGACTATAAAGGGGAGAGATGGGAGCGTATCTGCCGGGGCCTGCTGGCCAGGGTGGGGAGAATCAGCCGCCAGCACCGCGGCTTCTGTTATCACTTCGTTGCAGCGTCCCCCTTCTCCACGTTCCGCTTTTCAAGTGTCCAAGATGAAGGCGTTGGTTTCAGAGATGATTCATGCCCCTTCCCTGTTGTCTGGCTCTATTTTTAACATCTTCACACGGCCAATTTTGATTATGAATGAAGTAACAGACAAGCAAACTGCATGGACTTTTACTTTAAGACGACAATGCTCAGCTCTGCACCAAACAAGTTGATAAAAAATAATTCTGTGGGGTAGATACTACCACCACCACGATCCCGTACTTAAAGATGAGGGGACTAAACACTAGAGAGATCAAGCCATTGACCCAAGATCAAAGAACTAGTAAAGAGTGGAGATGGGATTTGAACCCACGAAGTCTGGAGTCAGAGTCTGATCAGCTCTAGGTCTCTCTTTCTACCTCTTGTTGCTTGCTTGCTTGCTCTTTCTCCCTTGGTCCTAATTCTCTTTTCTCCTTCTCGCCTTAAGGTTGTCAGATAATAGGTGGCTCTCTGGTTCATACTCACACCAATTCTACAACTAACAGTGTTTTCAAGTACAAATGCTCCATTTCATGCCCCACCATCCCTGCTTGCAGGACTGGACCTACTGTGTGACATGGTGAAACTTAATGGTGCCAGTGTGAGTCACATCCTGCCATTATTTGAAAAGCCGATATTCCGTTCATCGTGGCAATGCTTCATTAACTTGGGGTTTCATAAATGTTGCATTAAAATATTACTGGTTTTCTGAGTGTGTGTGTTTTTTCTAGAGGAAGGGAGCTCCTTTTGTGCCTAGACTGAGTGACTCTCTGAGTGCCCTCTTGTCCAGGGTCTTCCTCCATACAAATGCTTCCCCTTGTCTCACAACCTCCTTGAGCCCAAGTCCAGTCTTGGGCAGATCAATGTATCTGAGAAAGTCTCCTGGGTCCTTCCGATACAGACCCAGGATCAAACCTTGGGCGTGCGCGCTCACTATTGTCTTTTTGGAAGAAGATCTCTTAGGTGGCTACTCATCCCGCAGCCCGTGTTCCAGGTCTCTTTCTGTAAGGGTTTCTAAAAAAAAGGTGTAGCGTTTGGATATTCTCATACTGCTACCCTCTGCTGATGAATCTGTTGTGGCAACAGATACCCTCCTCTTTTGTGGAGCTGTGAGGGCCAGGAGGGGGTTCAAACTGCTGAGCTGTCAGTTGGGCACAGGACCCACTCCACCATCCGGGCTCCATCCACATAAGATAGGGACCCTTTAATCTAAGCCTACATCTTCCCCTTCGGAAGGGATAGGACAGAGAGAGAATCGAAGACATCTGCTAGGACCGGCAGGTAGAAGTGTTGGTTGGGGAATGGAAAGGTGTGCTTGCATGGGTCACAAACGTGTTACAAGATGATGCATCTATCCACACGGACACTGTGACTCAAGATGAATTGTGAGTGGAAAATGTACAGTTTCCTGCGGACCACGTGTGAGGGAGTTTCAAAGATAATGACAATCTGTCTGACACACAATCTGGCCCACTGGTCATGCTACCGTCTGCGATGAAGGTCCAGAATGGTTTGACTCTCCTTCTAGGCTTTGTCTCCCTCTGGGAGGGGAAAGAATTAGAGACAGTGACAAACTAATTATATTTGAAATTCATCTTTTCCCTTGGTTCCTGTGCGAATGTGAGTGTCTAATCCCATCTGAGAACACCTCACTTCTAAAGTGATGATAATGACCCCTTCTCAGTGGGGAGCTGTGAGCATTGTCTGACATGCACAAGGGCTGCTTGATGACGCTCAATAAATGGGTGCTCCGGACCAGGTATAAACTACATCCAGAGTTGTTTGCACATCACAAATTACATTTTCTAAAGGAAAGAATTGAGACAGGTGTATTTCACATCCATATTAGTCATCCTGAATTCTACACAGTATCTAAGACTTTGTACTAATACTACTTTTTACTTGTAAATATTGGAAGTAATTGTATAAGGCATTGTAGAGTAAAATATAGCATTTCTGGATGTTAATTGTAACTAGAAAAATAGATTCAACGATGCAATTTCTTCAATCAACTTCAATATCAAGCAAATATAATAGTTAACAATCATGTAAATCATGAAGTTGTAGAAAGCAGAATTTTTGATTAGCTATCCTGAAAAAATACAAGTAAATATAAACTAAATTAATTGTTATCTATTCTTTTATTTGAAATTATGTATGTTTAAAATGTCTGCATGTATTGTTTCCTCTTGAGGTATTAAATCAAACTTCTCGACTTGAAATACAATTGCTGGAGAATTCTTTATCAACATACAAGCTGGAGAAGCAGCTCCTTCAACAGACAAATGAAATCCTAAAAATTCATGAGAAAAACAGGTAAGAGGTTTTATATTCCAAAGTATCATGTATTTATATATCTATTCATATACCTCTTTGCCAGTTTTAAAAAAGTATTATTGTTCTTCCTTTTAAATGTTTTTTAATAAGAAATCCAGGCTAGGTAAATCTTTGGAAACAGTAACTGGATTGATGGTTTTTTGGGGGGTGAGTATGGCGGATGGAGCTTGGAGGAAAATGGCAGACATTAACAGTGAGTACAAGAATGAAGAAAAAGTTGCAAAACTGATTGTGGTGTTGACTACACAACTCTTCTTGGTGTGATTAAACTATTATATGATATGTGAATGATATGCCAATGAAACTGGTAAAAATACTTGCAATGATATACTTATTTGTAGTATATAAATAAATGATGGTTAAAGGTGAACTCAGAAAATATGTTAATAATCAGATCTCATACTATTGGTCACATTCCTGAAATATGTGCTTTTATTTTTTATAAAATTTAACACTAATTTACTGAATATTCAGTTTTTCCAATTTCTCTCTATCTACTCAATTTAATTCTAGAAATATAGTGAAACAAAATATTGGCCATTTTCAACAAAATCAACATGTATAGCAATAGAGAAGAAAGCTTCTTTGAAACTTTGTACCTTGAATTGTCATCCTCTTCCCCCTTGAGTTTGTACAACACTATAAAGTGATAGAATTCTGGATTCCAGAGAGGTCTTATTGCTATTTTTCAAGAAAATTATCTACTAAGGAAATTTGGTTTTTCCATTTAAAGCCACCCCACTGTACATAATCAAGGTCTTTGTTTAGCTAGGTAAATGTAATCATGTCACACTGCTTTATATAAATGGTGCATCATCTCAGACCAAGTGCCATGGGCCTCAGAGAGCTGGAGAGTTGCCCTAGCATGCAGCTCTTTTCTTTATAAATCATCAGCACTGAACTTTTCGATCAAAACCACTACACTCATAGGATTTGGACAGGAGTTTACAACCTTTTCCAAATCACAAAGGCCCCAAAATGGATGGCTGGTTCCCCAAGATTTAAGTTGACAGTTAAGAGGACAGAGCCATAGCAGAAGTACCTTCCCTGCCTAAGATCACACAGCTTCCCAGTGGCAGGGCTCGAATGGGATTCCATTTGCTTAGCTCCAAACCCTGCTCTCTCCATCATAACACATGGTCCCCCATTACTATGTACAACCTACAACCGTTTCCCAATTACATGCCAAAAGCAGAGCTAAATGGCATTGATGACAAATATACTTTGCCTGGTTTAGAGGCTGAAAAGGGCCACTCAAGCTCTCTGACTTTACCTTCACCGTTGCATACTTTTTATTTTTGAACTGTGTTTTGGGGGGAACTATATGTCTATGAGTAAACTTGGAAGGAGTTGACCCTGAACTGACCACATGATGAAATGTGCTAGAACTGAAAATGCTGTGGAAATGTACCCTTTATCCTGCTGAAATTTCACAATAGCCAGACACATGCGTATCACAGGTGTGTTGCTTCAACTGCCCTTGATGTGGGGTTCTCCCCTCAGGATGTCATGTGTTAATAAAAGTGAAGCTCATCAGTAGTCACACATTTCACGAGGCAATTGTGAAATGCCCACCCCCCGGCCCCAGGAATCATTAATAAGTAAAACAATGAGCTTATCATATTTTTCTAGTGTGTTCCTTGTTTTGATAATTATATGAAAAGTACATTTGTTACAGGAAAGGGAAATTTAAAATATCAAGATACTATTATCTGGAGAGCACTGCCTATGCTACTGCATATTATGCATCCAAAAATATATTTGTCACAAAAAAGTTGTTCATGTTATCAGGGTACTTCAAAATATGCATGGAGAATTGGAATTAAAAGACAAAGAAAATTCCCCACAAACTTGTTAAGCCCCCTTCATTTACACACTGTACTACAGTTTTCTTTTTAACAACTGCTTGGTGTTTAGTCTTGTAGATACAGCCTGTGGTGGGCTTAACTCCTCTCTCACCAGATATGTTACCACCTGTGACCTGTCTTTTAAAAAATTGTCAACATGGAGTTACATTCGTGAATTCTTCCTCTACTGATGTGTCTATTATCTCCTGGGCTATCGACACTTCAGCTGTCAGGATACCGTCAGAGAAATTGGGAGGCCAGCGAGGGCTTGTCCTCTTAGACACAAATGCAAAGCCTGTTGGCAGTTTTTATCCTTCTTTTATATCTAGCGCATCTTCTTCCTTTTTTCCATTCTTTCTCCTGTGTTTTTTTTTCTGTTTCTCCCTTTAAAAATTTTGCTCTTACAGTATACACAGCAGAATGTACAGCGATTCAGCCATTTCTCGGCATGTAATTCCATGACAACGGGTGCATTCTTTAAGTTGTGAAACCATTTTCACTCTCCTTTTCTGAATGGTTGCTCTCCCATGAACGTGAACTCATCGCTCCGCGTGCTTTTTATCCAGCCTCGCAAGTGGCTATTGTTCATTTTATCCCAGTAGGCACTTCCTCCTCGAGTCAGATCACTTAGGATGCTTCTGTTTTTCTCTATATTTCCATCATGATTTTCAAGATGCTGTCTTCTAGCTTTTCCCACTAAGAAATGTTCCCTATTAAACACTCATTATTTAAATTTCTTTCAATCAGTACAGCAGAGACTGAGTACTTACCTTTCAAATAGCTCCTACCCAGTCAAGGAGAATAGGTGCCCTGGTGGCACACTGGGGAAGAGTTTGGCTGCTAACCGAAAGACTGGTGGTTCCAACTTGCCCAGCTCCCCAGGAGACATATCTGGTGACCCGCTTCCATAACAAGTAAAGCTTTGAGTGCGGAGTGGGGCGTTTCTTCTCTGCCCTGTGGGATAGCTCAGAGTTGGTAAGGACCCATGACAACCATGCCCAGTAACAATCAAGTAGTAGGGACGTGTCCATAATACTACAGCCTTGAGATATTTCTAAGGACGAATCCCAAGCAATTTTATATGTATTTTGCTGCCGCAGTTGCTGGCGTTTATCCTTCATTAAACTTATGATTTCCAAGGGAAACCCAAGTTATCTAAAATAGTTAGCCTCCTATATTTATTGATGGTGATCTTTGTCTGTTCTTTTGTTTTCTTTAATCCACAATAAATTCAGAGGTTGTGGTTTTAATCTGAAATTCCTCTTCGTTTCCATGCTGATAGAAATGTGTGCGTTCCATACTCCTATTCCATATTCTTTTCTTTTTTGACCAGAAAGCCTTCAAGTATGAGATTACCTCAGCATGTGGTTCTTTGGGGTATTTTTCCCCCCAAACTCTGTATCTCCCTGCATTTCCATATACCTACAGTCATCGCTCTTATAGAAATATCCAGTGTATATAATAGAGTGTTGGAACATCTCTTCTTAAACCAGGCATGTGCTTCCATTAGCCACTTAGAAAACCAGTGTTTTCTTTATACAAGCCAAAGATATCCATTTGCGATGCACAGTATACTTCCCCTATTCTATTTATTGTTATTGTTTATTTTCATATGTGCAAAGGAATTAGAGGAAGTCTTCCCAATGCTTTCTAGAACAACAGAGACTTGTGTACCCCCCCACTCATCGAAGTGAATGAAAGGTTAGAGTGAATTCTGCAGCTGCTTGCTTATTGAAATTGTTTATTGATCACCTCTGCCAATTCCTGAAGTGAATCTCAATCCTTCAAATGCAACAAGAAGCTATTTCTGCACTGAGGCATCTCTGAAATGTCAGAACAACACGCCTGGAGTCTGCCAGCTCTGGCTTGGATCAGCTAATAGCACTTCGCAAGGGGATTATCTGAATGAAGCTTTGCTTCCTCCCAGGAATGTCAGGGGCTGTGTCCGCTGTTCGACTTGCCAACTTCAAATCTGAAGGGGCTTCAACAGGCACGTTGGTGAGCGGCCTGATGAGGGGCCACCGCCTCCCTGGCAGAACCAGGAGGAATACTTTTTGGGCCCCGGGATTATACTACACAATCACACGAGGGACACTGCTGATTTACATCCTGACTAATGAAAAGTGTCACTTCTAGGGCTGAAAATGGATTTTTTCCCCCTTATTAGCATCACGTCTTTATTCCCTAGAGGCCAAAGGCACAAAGCAGGCATAAGATCAGCTACATGTACTTCACTGTTTATTTTTTTTTATCCATCCAGTAGGGCTGAAACTAAGAAGTTTCCAGTTAGCTTCCTTTAGTCGTTCATTTTATTATTATTTAGTTTTTTGCTGACTGCTCCTCAATCAATAGGTAAAATCATGATGCCCAAAGAAAACTGAAGTTATCAAGGATCTCATCTATGTGGGATCCACAATCAATGCTCATAGAAGCAGCAGTCAAGAGAGCAAATGACACAGTTCTTTGGACCAACCTGCTGCACAAGACCTCTTTGGAGTATTGAAAGGCAAAGATGCCACCCTGAGGACTAAGGGCCACCCCACCCAAGCGACAGTACTTTCACTGACCTCAGATGCACGTGACAGGTGGACATCGAATAGAAGGAAGCCCTAAGAATGCATGTGCGTTCTGGTGCTGGTGACGAATACTGAACTTATCATCGACTGCAGAAAGAAGCAGCAGATCGGTCACTGAAGTACAGCTAGAGCAGTTCTTAGCCTCAAGGATGAGCAGACGTCATCTCCCGTACTTTGGACAGGGGTTCAGGAGCGCTCAGCGCCTGGAGAAGGACGTCCTGCTTGGAGAAGTGGGCAAGTAGTGAAAAGAGGAAGGCCCTCAACGAGGTGGATTCACAGAGTGGCTGCAACCAGAGGCTCAAATATAACACCATGAGGAGCATGGTACAGCGCCGGGCAGAGTTTCCTTCTGTGGTGGGAGTAAGAACTGGTCGTCAGGCTTCCAATACCAACAGCAACAACCCAAATCTTCAAAATCTGCTTTCCTTCTTACCTACAGGAAGCCAGGGACCAATGCCTGGCCCATGTTGTGGAACATACACAGCCATGTCAATTCAAGTCACTACAGTCAAGTCCATTCTGACTCGGAGCAACCCTGTGGGAGAGTAGAACTGCC